TAATCCTCACTGCTCTCACTCCCTTCCTGGCTCTCCCGTCCTGAGTGCCAGCTGGGGCAACCAGCTATAAAGAGTTTATTGGACTGAAAAGTGAGTGAATGTTCTCACACACCCTGCTCTTTCCCACCTCAGCAAAGCTTTTCAGAGTCACATTTCCAATGGAATCTGAATCTGGAAGGATTTAGATCTGCTGAAAAATGCCAAACCTCCAGCATTTGGCTGTGTTTGAGAATTTTGGCAGTTCCTCCCACGTCTGATGTTACGAACACTGTTTACAGATGCCTGGAAAGAAGCCTTTAATGCTTGTATTGTGTTTTAACTTGCTTTCCTTTGGAGGCAGGGAATTGTCAAGTAAGTATTCACAGCACTCTGGAAAAGCCCAGGTGTTCGATGAGCATCCAGTACTAAGCGTTCATGCAGAATCCACAACCGCGAAGGGTCTATACTTAACAATCCGCTGAATTTGCCACCATGCAGGTTTCTTCCTTTTGCCCCTCTCATCTTCAGTTTTGAAGCAATACAGCCATAAACATATGCTTGTGAAATAAGAAAGAAACATTCTGAGATTGCTTTACTTTTCAGTTCTTAACTGAAAATCAAGGTGAAAAAAAGCATCGGATTGCCTTTATGTGTATATATATACAATCTCCTGTATATATAAATACGCAGTGTTTGTGCTTGTATGCATACCTCGTATACACTGTATAATATGTGACATATTATACAACCTGTGTGTACCCTGGGAACAAGCCCTGCGTTTAATCTCCAGTTCTGCCTTTGAACCACGCTGTAGCCCCAGTGTACTGCTCCCATCTCAGACCTCGGCTTGCTTTTGTCACACACTCAAACATTCTTAGGTGAAAGAAGAAACCCACGGATTTCATTTGAAAGTCCCACTAAAACAGAAGAAAGAGCAGATGTCCTGGGAAGTGATAATTAATGTGAAGGAAGTGTCTAATTGCGAGAACTGGCATGCCCCCAGCCTCCCGGTTTTGCTCAATTTGGCAGCGGTGACATCAGCCGGGGGTGTCGTTTTGCAGAGATGTGCTCACTCCCTATTCTTCAGTGCAGATAATAATACCATTTGGTCCAATTATCACTTATGATTACATAACATGTTTTGATTGAAGACTTTCTCAGAAAATAAAGGTAACTTGTTTTTCCCCAGCCTGAAAATGCAAGCCTTTCCATCGGGCAAGCTGCCCTACCAAGAAACACTGGGAATTAGTAGGCTAAATTATGAGTCGAACTGGATTCGGAAACAAAGCATCCATTGTGCATAACTCCCAACGACATCCAGGAGGATGTTATTGTTTTTCTGACAACAAGTTTTCCCCCAGCACACTCTCAAATAAGCAGAGTCCCCAGGCGCATCCGCAAAGGCGCGGAGAGCGTGCGGGAAGCATTGACAAGGCTTCCTTTTTTCTCCCTATTCTGTAGGCGCTTTAGTGCAGAGTTTGCCCAGAGACGCCAGGGTATGAGCTTTCTGAATTTGTAGACTGGTGCACTCTTTCATTTCTGTTTTAGTTCTTTGCTGGCATGCTCGGGAAGCATGGTTTGTGCCACACAGGAATGTCTGTTCACTTGGATAATGCTTGTGCATGAATGAGGTGGTTGCTAATGCGGCTCTAAACTGTACTAAGTTTCTCACTTGGCTTTGTTTGCTGCTTACAAGGGGATCAAGGTAATCCTTTCTCTTTGCATAGCCCAAGAGCAATAACTAATGGATTTGCAACATGCAGCAGGACCTGCTACAGGTCTCCCTTACCCATTTCCTAAACTCCGAGAAGTCTGATTTAAGGGAGCCCCGTGTTACAAAACCTTGGCCTGCTCATGTAAGAGTAGAGAGCTTACCCGTTATAAAAACTCTTTCCTAAGTTTGGAGGCCCAGATCCAAGACTGAGAAGGGAAAGGCAAACTTTGGGATGATGATAGCAGTTTAATGTAGACCATAACCCTAAGGTATATGGCAGAGTGGGTGCTCTTTCTGTCTTTTATTCCCATACTTCCTACTTGCCCTTTTGTGTAGCATAAATGACCTGGGCACTCGGCCAGCCGAGCCTTTTCCCAAACCTGGCTTGCAAGGCCCACTTCACACCGCGGCATGATCTCTGACCACCTAATTCTGAACAACATAAGCATATCCCTGTGTGAAAAATGGCCAGTAGACTCGGGAAGCACAGCCCCTTCCTTCTCATTCTTAGGCTCCTCTTTAGTTTTAAAACCAGCCTCTCTGGCCCAGGTGTTCTTCCTGGCTCCCAGGAGGTAGAGGGACTGATCCCTGACTATGATGCGTTAGGTGTGTGAGGAAGCCCACCCCAACGCCGATAAATCCAGCCCCCATCACATGGGACCCTGAATGTCAGAATCTGCTTTTTCTGGGGGAGCGAGGGAGGGAGCAGGACCAAACAAACCCAGTGGAAGGTCCTCGGAGTGGGGGACAAGAGAGAGGGGAGCCTGGCTCTGGCCTTAGCTGAGCACACTGGACAAGCAACCTTGCTGCCTTTTGTTCAACACTGTGTTTTTGTTTTTGTTTTGTTTTGTTCTGTTTTTGTCACCCTCTGCTCCAGACCGCCTGTTAGCAGAGCAGCCCCCCAGCCTGAGAAACTCCAGAAGAACAACATCACCAAAAAAAAGAAACTGGTTGAGGTGAGAAAGTTAAGCTGTTTTGGTCTTCGTCTAAGATCAGTGTTCTAAGACCTGCCCAGTGGACACTACCATCTGCTTATGGCGAGATACCTTCAAGTAAACTTGAGTGCAGTTGATGGGTCTCTCTTGTCTCCTCTCCCTTCTACAGAGTGTTGTGTCCCCCATCCCAGAATCACGCCCACCGGGTCATATTCCTTCAGCCCTGCCACCAGGTCCTGTCAGTCCTGACTTGCAAATGTCCCATGTCCTTCAAACCTGTCTCCTTTCCCCTAGACCAGTCCCACTCAGGGGCAGGGAAGACACAGGGAGAATGCAAGCTTATTCTTTGTCTCTAACGTTGTCTGAGCACCCACCATGAGCCAGGTACTACGTATGTACTTTCCATGAAGTATTTCATATAATCTGTCAAACCCATGAGGAAGGTACTGTTATTTCCATTTTACAGATAAGGACAGTAGCTCAGAAAAGCTAAGCGACTAATTAGGTCCTGTGCCCAAGATCTCCAAGCCAGGAAGTGCAGAGAGATTTAAATTCAGTTGTTCATACTTGAGGATTGCAGCTTTGTGGACCTTCTCTTCTCTAAGAGAGGCCTCTTAACTGTTGTATCTGCCTCCAGAGTCCCCTCCCTCTCTGACACATGTCTTGCTTCCCACAGAATTAGCTCTCTCAAATAGAATACTTCACACTTCACCTCAGCTTTAAGACCCAGGAAATTCCCACATTGCCTGTGGGATTCAAGTGCATGGTTTCAAAACCTGACCCAGGAGCCACCTTTGCAGCCTCAGCACCTGTGATTTGCCACTGCATCTCAAATCTCCAGCCCCCAAGCCCTATACCTAATGTTTTCTGAAGCTGCCATGGGCTTTCAGTCCCCTGTGTTTTAGAAGTCTTCTCCTCTTCTATGCCCACACCCTGGTCTTTCCAAGCTTTTCTCTGGCATCTTCTCAGTGTAGTCTTCTTGATTCTCCTCATCCTGAACATTCCTACACTCCCTCACACACACCCCTCACCCACAGCCCTTGTTACACACACTACTGCCATTATTTCTTACTCATCTGTCTCTCCTACCACACTTTGAACTCACTAAAGACAGAAGATCCATCTTAAAACTTTTTATTAGAAAAGGGGGACTAATTGGGGAATTTATCATGAAACAGAGCACAGGCCAGAAGATGCAGGATCCAAAAGGTGAAAAGCCATCATAAACCAAGATGGCACCACTCTCTGCCCACTGCGGTTGTCTGTCTGATGCATTCTTCTCTTTTTCTGCACACTTCCTGAACTATTTTGGTAGACAAATGGGTATGACCCAGCACTTGAGTTTATATCTCCTCACTTAGTTAAACAGCCCAGCCTACCAGTGTCCTCAATTCTTAATTCCTGGGAGAAACCATGTGACTGGCCCAGCTTGAGTCAGTTGTCCACTGGGATGAGGGGTCACATTTTACATAGACGGTTTCTGGGAAACACGTGGGGGTAGGGGAAGGCTGAGATGAAAGGAGGAGAAATGCTCTTCAGGCAAGGGCTATTTTACAAAGCAGAATTATAAAGGTAGGAAAGCTCATGATGTATGGGCTAAATAGACAATGCAGCTTCACCGAGGGTACAGAAGATGTGTGAGTAGAAGTAATTCTGCCAACTTAGGAGTTTGGGCTTTATCCCGAAGGCAGTGAAAGTCAATGAATGTTCTGGAGTAAGGAGGGGTTGTTGTATTTTAGGAGCTTTGGGGAAAGAAATCAGGGAACCTAGAATCAGGGACCCACGTCTTCTTAACCTTGTATCCCACTAACCAACACAGTGCCTGGCACAGAAGTGCTGGCAACAGGAAGTGTGCATCAAATCGCATTGATAGCTGATCCTGAGCTTAATCATGGAAGATAAGACAGGAAGAAGAAAAAGACTATAAACCCAGAACAGCATCTAGTTGTTGGGGGGAAAAAAATGCAAATTATGTTGAAACTCTGTAGGGCAAGCACCAAGCAACAGAATGAACATGGCATTTGCCTCAGTATCCGGCCCCTGCCAGGCCCAGTGGCATTTGCGGGAATCAAAGCAAACCTCCAGGCCACCATTCAGCTCCCCTGAAGACTGCCTGCCAAGGGACAGACATACAACTTCTAGGTGACCTTTACAGGGCTTCTAATCAGTAGACCTTGACTCCCCTGCAGTGCCTGGAAACCTATCTAGCCTATTTAGAAAGTTCCCTGTAATTCTGTGTGTTGGCCTGTCCCCCTAGCTTTTCAGGGAACTAAAGAAAGGGCTGCGTTGTAGCCTCAGCTAGTCAAGAAGCAAAATGCTTTTTGTGGGGTATTGGCTGTCTAACCAGCCATGCGGTTCCCATGAGGTAAGTGGCTGCTCCCAGAGTGTGGGTTTGTGCCTCTGCGCTTACTTCCTCTGAGAGCCGCTTTTATCTGTGTGTGGGAACGTAGGAGCTGGCTCTCGACCACGTGTTTGGCTACAGGGGATTCGACTGTCGCAACAACCTGCATTACCTGAACGACGGTGCAGACATCATCTTCCACACCGCGGCGGCTGGCGTGCTCCAGAGCCTCTCCACGGGTAACTCAGCCCGAGAATCCCCTCTGAGGACAGGACCCCACTTTAGTCCCTTTGTGTGTACTCCCCCACTCTGGAGATGCCCCCCAAACTGACGCATTCTTATCCTGATAGAGCCCTTTCACTCAATTCCAGACTGGTATCATTTGGTCCTAGAAAGTGTGGAGGCCTCATTCAAAGGTCACAGCCAGCCGTCTTTCTTTCGAACAACACCCTGCTGTCAGCCCTCTGAGGGAGGTGTCCCTGTTTCCCATCAGCTGCTCAGATGCTGGGAGGGATGGACAGAAGCCAGAAAGAGGGTGTAGGGAGTGGAGAAATTCCTTGTGGCAGGTTACCAAGAACAGAGCACAGGGGAGATTTTCTTGCTAATTTGTTAGGGGCGACCAATTTTTTAGTAGCTCAAATTTTCAAGTTTTGCTTGTTTTGAGTAGTTAACCAGATTTACCATAAGGATGAGAACACTTAAACTGTAAGCACCCCAAAGTGTCCCTTAACTGGTAGGGTGAGTCACATGAAACAAATAGTTTGAAAAGAAACACTGCAAGGCAAAGGGAGCATGTAGAAATGAATTTGACACGTACCTTTGCCACCAGATTTAAATATGTTAACATCTTGCCTTATTTGCTTTATATCTTAAAACAGACCCCCTTTCTTTTTTTCAAATTTTTATGCTCCTTCCCAATTCCACACACTTATTTAATGCATACATTTTTAGACAGGGAAGTCACTGAGCACATAACGATCTCTTTTTGGGGAGGAGGACCTTGAAATTTTCTATACATTTTCACCTTTTTTTTTTTTTTTTAGACATACTATCATTTTAGCAGCAATGTGCTGTTTCCTTGTCTATCAGTGCCATCACTTACCTCCTAGTAGTGTTGGCTACTTGGATGGGTTTACAGTGGCCACTTTGGAAGTCAGCAAACCCATTTTCCATAGTAGATAATAAATACTTCCTGTGATTTCTTCTATTTTCTGTGTTACATGTCGAGTTAGGGCATTTAGGGGGTGAATACATCACCTGTGCCATCCAGTAGGCTCCCAAGTGGATTGGCACTTTGAGAAATAACAATGGTTTAAAAGAGATACCCGAAGTATTTTCTTATTCCACAGACTTCCCTTTCAGATGAGTAAGTGGTGCCATTTTGTTCAGTTAAGTATTATCTCCATTATCACTTTGGACCCTGGAAGCCTTGCACTTGGACTGTGTTCTGGACCCACACAGGCTGCGGGAGGGATGGCAGGGGAGCTGGTGTGTGCTAGAGAATAGATACCAGCTCTTCCGCCAGGCCTGGAAGAGAATGTGTAAATGTAAAAAAATGATCTCCCATCTCCCCAAGGATGATTCTAAAATTGCGAGCTTGTGGCCTTGATCTCTCACTTTGACAAGGCATTTCCAGACCCTATGTAATCCTTCAAGGTTGTCCTGAGAGGTCTCGAAGACTCCCCTGCTCACCATCCCGTGTCTTCCCCCTAGGGAGCCAAAGCTTCTACCTGGAGCACACGGATGACATCCTTTGCCTCACGGTGAACCAGCACCCCAAGTACAGGAACGTGGTGGCCACCAGCCAGATAGGTAGGAGGGTCGTGCCCTAGCTAAGCTTTTTCCCAGCTGAGCAGGGACATTGACTTAATAGCAAATATCTGGAAAGGGGGTTGGTGGGTTGTGGACATCTACCCATTCTGGACATTGCTGTTCTTTTTTGAGCACTCAGTATATCTGTGTCATCTCAGTTGAAATAGCCAGTGATTGTTGATTCTTAGGGATCATAAAGTCAGACCAGAGCCCGATAATCCAAATAAATGGATGCCCCTATCCCTGTGGACTTGTGCAGAATAATTTTTCACCGGCCAGGTGTCAGTTAAAGAGCCCTGTGTCCGAAGCCCGGTGATTGTCCTTGGCAAGGGTAGCTTGTCTGTGTGCCCAGCTCTTCTGCACCCTAGCAAACTGCCAATGACAAATGTGAACTGATTGACACTTCACATTTGTGAAAAGTTGTGTGTGTGTTTTTTGAACTTTGTCGTTTCAAAGGCAGTTTTTTATGAACATACCCTTCTGCTTGTTTTCATTGAACCCATGTCCATTTTTAAATTTAATTTGGAACTTCCTGATGCTGGTGTTAAGTGCTTCACTATCAGAAACATGACTTATTTTAGCTATTGTTTTCCCTTGACGCTTCCTCATTGCCATTGCCCACCCAATGCAGTTGATATTACGGAGACCCAAGGTAAGGCTGTTCCATCCGTGAGTAGTTTGAATCTTCACAGCAAAATCGTGTCGCTGTATCGTGTTTGCTGCTTGTATCTGGCCAAACTGCAGATACAAATCACTGATCTCACCAGTTGCCTCTGTGTAAACTCCTCCACAAGTGTGTGTGTGGACATAAACGCTCTTAGGCCTCTGGCTCTAAAAGCACAACAGATGTTTCTCATTGCTTCACCTCCGGCCAGGTCAGGCTATAGGTCTCTTAGGCCCAGTAACTGTAACACCCCCAAGTATTTGTCTTAGAAAGTCTTCCGGGTGAACGTAAGCTTTGCCTTGGCCCCGCCATTCTTCAGCCTTAGTTGTGTGTCATGCCTCCCACATTCAGGAACAACACCCTCAATCCACATCTGGGATGCCATGACCAAACACACGCTCTCTATGCTGCGGTGCTTCCACTCGAAGGGGGTGAATTACATCAACTTCAGCGCCACTGGGAAGCTCCTTGTATCGGTGGGAGTGGACCCTGAGCACACCATCACTGTCTGGCGTTGGCAGGAAGGTAAAAGGAGCCGGGCTGTCTGTCCATCTGGGAGGCTTGCTTGTGTTGCGTGCTGGGCTCAGACTAGATGGGCCTCACCCCGAAAACCATCAAGGGCGCTGCTGCTGGGTCAGCCGAAATCGGCCATCTCCGGTTCCTGGAGAAGCTGCCTATCAGGTCCCTGGACTCCATGGCCAGGGGAGTGCTGGTCTAGCTAGTGCAGGGTCTGTGCACTCTGGAAAAGTGCCCCAGTGCAGGCAGCCTTCCTCCTCACAAAGAAGACCTCAGCCTCCCCCTTTTCCGTCTTAATTCCCTTTCTACCCAAGTTTCCTTGTCCTTGGTATTCCTTCTGTGACCTCCAGATCCTGCCACAGCCTTATCACCCTGGTTCCCTTATTCCAGGAACTGGGACAAGATCTTACCACCGTAGTCTCAAAAACACTTTATATTTCGCTTTTGTGAAATGGGGATTCACCTTATAATCAAGGTTTACGTTTCCCGTAACAGGATTTCTCTCTTGCCTTCGCCCAACACACACACACACACACACACACACACACACACACACACACACACAGGCTGCTGCTAAATTTATGTTCATGTTAGAATCAAAGATGTGTAATCTTTCAAGTGTATTCTCAGGTTGGCAGAACAGATCCAATTAGTTAGGACGTTAATGAGGTCTGTCTCCGGCAGGGCAGCCTGTATCTAGGGCACTCAGAGCCAGGCGCGCACAGAGGTGGCTCTTCTCCAATTCAGGGCTTCTAGAGACCCATTATCTCAGCACCTCCCCATGGAGGGAGCTGTAAAGAGATGGCAGCTAAGTTCCAATCCCTCCTGAGCCCCCATGTGAGAAAAAGAGGTTGGGGACCTGCAGACTTTTATAATGAGATTCCTTTATCATATTCGGTCCCTTTCTCATTTTCTTGTTCATCAGTGCATTGTGTCCAGAGGGCCCCACAATCTATGTTTTGGGGATGCAGCTTCATTTCTTGTCCTGTCGAGTTGGCCTGAAATAGACTCAGCCCCAGATGAGACACTGAGTGTCTTAAACAACAGACTCATAACCTCGTGGTGTTGAAAGGACTGGAGAAGTCTTCCCACCTGGTCCCGACCGTCCCATGGGGCAGTTCCTACAAGTGCATTCCTGATAGGCTGACTCCCCTCCTCCACCAAACACTTGCAGCGCTGTGGCCTGCATCATTTCCCAAGGCAGCCACCCCCTGCTGGAAATGTCTCATAAAGCCCTTCCTTATAAGAGAGCCTAACTTGCTTCCTTATGCCTTTCTTGTACTGCACTAACTCCGCTTCTGCAGTAGCCAAGACCAGATCTGTGCCTAGTTTCTCGGAAGAGGGTTAATCCTGTTGGGCCCTGTGCACAGGCTAGTCTTTCCAGGCTCACTGTCCTCACTTCTGCCATCTGCTTCTCTGGGCAGTTCCTGCTCTGGACCTGCCCCAGCACAGACCCCTTCTCACCCTGGGCCCCTTTTGACCGCTGCAGGGCAGACTGGTGGAGCCAGGACTTTTATTTAAAAAAAATTTTTTTTTTCAACGTTTATTTATTTTTGGGACAGAGAGAGACAGAGCATGAACGGGGGAGGGGCAGAGAGAGAGGGAGACACAGAATCGGAAACAGGCTCCAGGCTCTGAGCCATCAGCCCAGAGCCCGACGCAGGGCTCGAACTCACGGACCGCGAGATCGTGACCTGGCTGAAGTCGGACGCCTAACCGACTGCGCCACCCAGGCGCCCCGAGCCAGGACTTTTAAACCAGCTTCTAAACATGGTCAACAGATGCCTTCTCTTTGGTAACTTTCTCCCCTTGTCTTTGCTGGAATCGGCCCGTGGCTGTCTGCAGAAGGGTTCTGAGCCATTGATATCTAATGGTATGTCACCAACCACCACCTCTCCTGAGATGGTTGTGTGAGGGCCTCCCTTAGCTTCAAGTTCTGCTTATAAATGAGACAGTTTTGAGAGAGGTTTATATGCGTGTTACTCTTCTTTTGTTAAAGGACTGTTTTGTCGAACTCCAGGTATGTATGTGTGTGTGTAGTCCACAAAGTTGAGTAAGAAATGAGCTTATTATGTATAAAATGAATGTTGTCAGGTCCTAGATACTTGTATGAAACTTGTTCTGAGCAACGTGGAAGCCAACGTAAGGCAGGATACAGGCATCTCCACGGTCAGAAGTGTCCATAGATTAAGACCAGGAAAAAACAAACACTTGCTTAGAAGAAAGTGCAGGGGCGCCTGGGTGGCTCAGTTGGTTAAGCGTCAGGCTTTAGCTCAGGTCATGATCTCAGGGTTCGTGACTTGGAGCCCCGCCTTGGGCTCTGTGCTTATGGCTCAGAGCCTGGAGCCTGCTTCGGATTCTGTGTCTCCCTCTCTCTCTGCCCCTCCCCTGCTCGCCCTCTGTCTCTCTCTGTCTCTCAAAAGTAAATAAACATTAAAAAAAATTTAAAGACAGAAGAAAGCGCAAAATAAAACAGCATACCCCCCTTGGCTCCCAAGAATGATCCTCTATGTCTTTAGTGGCCACTTGGGCCACTTCTTCTGTAATCCAGTCATTGGAATCCTTTTTCTGCTGGGGAAGGGAGAGTTGTTTGTGTTTTCCTTATGTGTAGTTTTTTACTGATCTGGTTACTTCTTCATCTCCTGTAAGTGTTGTAATTGTTTTCCCCCAGTGTGGTATTTGTCTCTTAACTTAGTTTACGGTATCCTTGAAGAGCATGGGTTTTTAAACCTCTGAGCTCTCAGTATGGATGTATTTTCTGGTAAGTCGAACTTTCCATATGTGGAGAGAGAATGACTGTTGTGAGAGGTGACGTGCAGCAAGTCCTGGGAAGGGCCTCCAGGAGGATGAGTCTGAGATGCCAGGCCAGCTATGCCAGAACCCACCACCACTCCACTGGGGAGCCACTTAAAAACAAACACATAGTGAAACAGAAAAAGGGGATTAAGAATACACTGACCATGATGAGCACGGAGAAATGTTTAGACACCATATGAATCACCATATTGTACACCTGAAACTAACATAACACTGTACGTTAACTATACCGGAATTTTTTAAAAAGGTAAATGATGAGGAGGGGCAGGGAAAAGTACACATGAGGTAATAGGGGAGATAATTAAGAGGAAATGGGAACTAAAACATTAAGACTAAGTTAGAAGAAAATGGAAAGAAAAGTTTAAAATAAAAATTAAAAACTCGAAGGCAGAAAAATAATGATGAGGTAAAAACAGATGGGTTTACAATATAGGCTGAAAGACAACAAGGCAGGAGGTGTAGAGGGTGGTGACACTAAGTGGATACTTGCGGAGAAGTCGTGGCACCAGGCTCGGCTCCTGGGGGCGTTGCTTGCACCAGATCGCTTAATCCTCACAACACCTTATAAAATGGGAACTGTTACTATCCCCAAATTGCAGATGAGCAAACTGAGGCACCGAGAGATGACAATAATTTTCCCAAAGTTGCTCTACAGATAAATGGTGGAGCTGGGATTTGGTGGGGACAAAAGTTAAAAAGCAAATGAATCCAAAAACATAAATGAATGGGCTTGAGGAAAAAAAAACTGGTAATTAAATATTAAAGGTAGAATTTTTAAACCTAAAAGCCATGAAAAACAAAGGAATATGAAGGATTTTTTTTTTCTTAGGAAAGTAAAAGCAGAGAATCTTGGAAAGAAATTAAGAACAGTCTAAAGGAATGCGAGTCTCTAATTACACTCGAGGGGAAGGTTCAACTTCTGGTAGGCAGGAATCCTGTGATGAGGTCAGAGACAGGAGATAGGAAGATGAAGGGTGTCCTTTGTCCTTTTCTGGTATCTGGAGGCTTATATCTTCAGGGCCATCCCTTCCTGCACATTCATGGGTGCCTGGATGTGGCTTTGTGGGGGTGGAGCGGGATTGGGGTTATGTTAGCAGCACCTGCTGTTCTGGAAATTTCCCAACCTCTCTCTTCCCCACCTTGGGGGTCATGCCTGAGGCAGGGAGGGTACCGTGGAGGAAGAAGGAACACCTGAAGTGTACCCTGGGCTTTGCTGGATGGAGAGCCATCCTGAGCTCAGAGTGTGGGAGGACCCACCTCACCAGACTCTCTCACCCATACAGGCGCCAAGGTTGCCAGCCGAGGGGGTCACCTGGAGCGCATATTTGTGGTGGAATTTCGCCCTGACTCGGACACGCAATTTGTGTCTGTCGGGGTCAAACATATGAAGTTCTGGACCCTGGCAGGCAGTGCCCTGCTTTACAAGAAAGGGGTCATTGGATCCATGGAGGCTGCCAAGATGCAGACGATGCTCTCCGTGGCCTTCGGTGCTGTGAGTTCCAGCAGAAGCTTCTTGAGAGGGGGACCCTGAACCCCGGGCATGGGCATGGGGGGCACAGATAGCCACAAAGCTACAAACAGCAAGAAAGCTATTTCCACATTTTCACCTTTATTGGCTTACTTGCAACCTTTATTCCTTTATCCCTTTCCTTAGCACAGAAGGTCAATTTGAGTGTGTTTCTCTTTCTCTAGTTCTAGTTCCCTAACCAAGGAGCAGGTGGTTGGGAGGGGACCCTCTTGAGAGGTGCTGTGAGTGTCCTAGTGTGGAAGGTGTCCCTTTGTTTACAGAACAACCTCACTTTCACGGGTGCCATCAACGGAGACGTCTACGTGTGGAAGGACCACTTCCTCGTCCGACTGGTGGCCAAGGCTCACACGGGCCCTGTCTTCACAATGTACACGACCCTCCGGGATGGACTCATAGTGACCGGTGGCAAAGAGCGGCCGTAAGGCGAAACTCCTCTGGGAACAACTGATCTTTTCTTATTGTGCTGGGAGAAACTGACAGAAGCATCTCCCACTGGGAGAAAACGCAGATTTTCTTTCCCCCATCTTGCCTGCATCAGGGAGATGAGTCTGCCATCTCTCCAAGAGGGCCCTGGGCAAAAACCTTCAGAGTACAAGTCAGAGAAGGAGAGAGGTGGTTTAATGGTAGTGGAAAATCCAGAGAGGTATTCTTGAATAGACTCGAGTGACTATGCTCTTCATCGAGTGTTACTTCCCGTAGGTCTCGGGGACGGGAGGACGGAGAGGCGGGGAGAGAAGTTCCCCTGGGGACAGAGATGTAAGAAGGAAGCAGAGCAGCAGAGAAACGTTTCTCTTCATGTTTGATCTAATCAAGACACGGTTTGGTATTTTAGATCACAGTCCTCTTTCCTTCTGCCATAGTGGCATTTGAAAGTATTCTAGTGAAATGGTTGTCACTACCCGTTGGCAGGGCCAAAAAAGAAGCCACCCTGGAGGGTCTGTCCTGCTGGGACCTGGTGGCCTTGATGATAGGGACAGGGGACATGGAGCATCAAGGGCAAGTCTTAGGACAAGGCCCAACTTGCCAAGGTCCTCTCACTCCTTTTTAGGACCAAAGAAGGAGGTGCTGTGAAATTGTGGGACCAGGAGATGAAGCGCTGCCGGGCCTTCCAGCTGGAGACGGGGCAGCCGGTGGAGTGTGTGCGCTCTGTGTGCCGCGGCAAAGTGAGTGGGCGGGCCGGTCTTTCCCCAGCTGTCCCTAGGGGGCTGGGCCGGGAAGGGGCCCAAGAGAGAGAAGGAGTTCAGCCATACTCTTTCCCTGTGCCCAGGTGCTAAATCCTTAAAACAGGCTTCCAAGGTTCTACTTGCACTGCGGTGGGAGTCGGCCTAGCAGGGTCCCACAGACCCAGGCGCAGACTCTTCTGAGTCAGCACTGGCTGTATGACCTTGGGTGTGTTAGGTACCCTTTCTGTGTCCAGGCGGGTGGTTGTGAGGGTCGCGTGCGTTATAATGCGCGATGCCTTCCATTATGCCTGGCTCAGAGCCACATTCTGTGGATGTCGGCTGCTACTGTTATAGATGTGATTATTACTGTAGGCACAGAGATAGTAAATAATTTGCCATGCGCACGGTTACATGGTCAGTAAGGGGGGACAGTAAAGGGCCATCAAACTGTCTGACTCAAAGCCATAGTTTGTCAAGTCCTACCTGGGCTGAATATCAGAAACAACTGTGGAGTTGTTTCTTGTTGTTGTTGTTTTTAATATATGGCTGTCCACGTACTTACCCAGAGCTGCCAAATCAGAGTCTTAGCCATGAGTTGTGTGTTCCTTTTCTTCTTTTCTTTTTTTAATTCCCCAAGAAATTCTGAGGTCCTTAAAAAAACAAATCTTAACCTCTGGTTCATACCCTGTGTCTATAGTTTTGAATTGTTAGCAGTCTAAGAATGTGCCTTCTGGATGTTCCCCATTGAAAAAGGCAGACCTGACTTAGAGTCTCCATAATTAGAAATCGAGAGCTTTGTTTTTAGATAGATAAATACCAGTCATCTGGTAGGTAGGCAGACATCTGGGAGATGAAGGCAGAGGTAGGCCCGGAATGTGGAAGTCCTCGAGAGATGGCTCGTTGTTCAGTGCGAGGAAGAATTTGGGAAGACATTGAACGGTCCAACAACAGAAACGGACTACCCCGCTCTGTCATGAGCTTGCCGTCAGTGGCATGTTTTGGCAGAGACCAGAAGATGGCAGTCTCTGTGCCGACACTCTCATCCATGGCTGAGGGAGAAAAGGAAAAGTGAGGAGGTCACGGAAGGGCGGGCGATTTTGTTGTTAACAACACAACCTGTCCCGGCTCTTCCGGCGTTAATACCATTGCCAGCAGGGGCCACTTTCCCACATTGCTCTAATAGTGTTTGCCTTTAAGTTATTATTTAAAATACAAATCTTATTTTTTACCTATTTTCATCCATTTGCCTACCAATCTCTCACCTACTAGATTCCTAATAGATCATAAAAATGTTTCATTTTAAATTGTAGCAAAATATAAGTAACATAAAATTTACCATTTTAGCCATTTTTAGGTGTACACTTTAGCGGTATAAAGTACATTCCCACTGTCGTGCAGGCATCGCCACCATCCGCCCACAGAACATTTTGCGTCTCGTAGAACTGAAACTCCGTAGCTATGAAGTCCTCACTCCCCTTGCCCCTCCCCCTCCCCAACACTCAGCAACCACCGTTGGACTTTCTTCTACATGTTGGAAGATGTTGGTGCGCCATAGGAGTACTATCATACAGTGTCTGTCTTTTTCCTAATAATGTTTTTATGACAACAGGGGAAAATTTTAGTAGGAACCAAAGACGGAGAAATAATTGAAGTTGGTGAAAAAAATGCCGCTTCTAACATCCTGATTGATGGGCACATGGAAGGGGAGATCTGGGGTCTGGCCACACACCCCTCCAAGGACATCTTCATCTCTGCCAGCAACGATGGCACAGCCCGCATCTGGGACCTGGCCGACAAGGTGAGGGGTCCACTGTGCTCTGATGCCCACAGGTGGGGCCTGGCCAGAGCCCAGAGTGAGGAGGGTTGGATCCAGAGTTGGGGGATGCGGTGGGTCTGCAATTAAGTTAGAAAGCCTGGTGATGAAAGTCCCACTCACACACGCCCAGTCTGTCTGTTAGCTGCATATACCCACGTGTAACTACAGGACAGGAATAATCTGGAAATGAAGTTTCTTTGTTGTAAAAAAAAATCCACAAAACCTAAAAAATAAAGAGATATGTCTTCCCTGGATGGGAAGACTAAAAATGACTTAAAATTTCAAATGTTCCCAAATAGGACATTTCAGTCAAAACCCCAACAAAGTTCATGGGGCACCTGGGTGGCTCAGGCGGTTGAGCATCCTACTTCAGCTCAGGTCATGAGCTCAGAGTTCCTGAATTCGAGCCCCGCATTGGGCTGTGCTGACAGCTCAGAGCCTGGAGCCTGCTTCGGATTCTGTGTGGCCCTTTCTGTCTGCCCCCTGCCCCACTCATGTGCGCTCTCTCTCTCTCTCTCTACTCTCTCAAATATAATAAACATAAACAAACAAGCAAAAAAATAAATCCCCAATAAAGTTCCTCTTGGAGTTTGGAAAAAAAATAATTTAAAAAATTCATCTTGAGTAAAAAAATAGCAGGAAATAGGGTTGGGCCCGGGGCGGTAATTGTTACCATGTCGTATCTGATAAAAAAAAGTAAGTTCTAATCATTAAAATAGTTGGGTTCATTACAAAATAGCCAGTAAATATTTCAGTCATATTTTTAGTGTGAGGATCAAAGAACAGACTCACGGTATAGTTGTTTTACTCAAGTTACTTTTCAAAATTGTTTGTGTATTATGAACACTGGCTATCATTTATTGAATACCTGCTATACACCAGATGCTTCATATACACGATCATTAATGCTTACAATAACCTTGCAAGACTTGTATTGATATCACTTCTTTTCAAGTGGGAAAATGGGGGGGGGGGGGTGGTGCCTGGGTGGCTCAGCTGGTTGGGGTCTGACTTCAGCTCAGGTCACGATCTCACGGTTCGTGGGTTCAGTCTGCATACCGGGCTCCACACTGATGGTGCGGAGCCTGCTTGGGATTCCCTCTCTCTCCCCACTCTCTCCCTCTCTCTCTCCCTCTCCCCCTTTCATGCTCTCAAAAATAAATAATAATAAAAAGTTCAAATGGGAAAATGAGGAAGTAACTGACACAAACACACCCAGCCAGTAGTAACAGACAGGATTCAGGATTTGAACCAAGAGGTGCCAAAGCTTAAACTCTTTTCTCTGAGCAAGAGGTCAGCAGTCTAAGACTGGGGGATCCAGTCTGGCCTGCCGCCTGTTTCTACAAAGTAAAAGCATGCTCATTGTTTACATAGTGTCTAGGTTGTGGGAGATCATATGGACCACAGAGCCTACAATGTTTACTACCAAACCATTTACAGAAAAAGTTGACCAACCTCTGCCCAAGCTGTTCTGATGAAAACGTACTGCCCATCTTGGTTCCTCAGGGACAGTTACTATAAGAAGCAAGACGTTTGGAGGCCCAAAGTGGCAGCAGAGACGGCCTGACTGCTCTGGCCTGGGTGCAGGATTTCCCTTGGAGACCAGCCAAGAAGGCCTAGGGCTTAGGTCATGCTACTTTGTATCTATGTAGAAACTGCTTAACAAGGTGAACCTGGGCCACGCGGCCAGATGTGCAGCCTACAGCCCTGACGGGGAGATGGTGGCCATTGGCATGAAGAATGGAGAGTTTGACATCTTGTTAGTGAACAGCCTGAAAGTCTGGGGGAAGAAACGAGACCGGAAGTCTGCTATCCAAGATATCAGGTACATAGCAGGTCGTCTGGGCAGGGAAAAGAAGGGCACCTCCTTCATTCTCCTTCTCTGTGGTTACCTTTCTGGAAGGGTCATGACTGGAATGAAGAATTCAGTTGTGGGAGGGTCCCTTTCAACGATCCAGCCGTGGAAGGAGACTCCCTCACACATTAATTCCCAGACATGTCTTTGCTAAGTTCCACGAAGAGTGTGGTTAAAAACTGCGTGTACGACGCCATTCTGCATAAGGCTACGTGCATCCACTCCCGTACTTCCATGGGATTGGATGCAGAGAGATTGCTGAACTCCCTAGAATGCTAACCACGTGTGAGTCATGAAGTGAGATCTCATTGCCTTTGAGCTTGGGAGGCCCATTCCAGAGCAGACCTGACTAGCCCTTCTCACAGACCATGCTCTTGGATTGCTTTTTCCAGAATCAGCCCAGACAGCAGATTCTTAGCCGTTGGTTCTTCTGAACACACAGTTGACTTCTATGACCTCACTCAGGGCACAAGCCTGAACCGCATTGGCTACTGCAAAGATATTCCAAGCTTTGTCATTCAGATGGATTTTTCTGCGGATGGCAGATACATCCAGGTATGTCTCAGCTTTGGTAATATCTGGGGCAACCAAGAATCATCACCATTATCGTAACAGCAACAGCGGTGGCTTATATTAATTGAGGGCTTGCTTTGCGCCAGGCTGTGCACCCATCTCCTCTTTATAGGAATGTTTCCAGTATTGCAACTTTTCCCCTCCCTTATAAATGAAGAAGCAGGGGCCTAGAGAACTTAAAAATGTTGAAGAAATAGAATTTTTAAAGTAAAGTTGTCCTTCAGTAAGAGACGCAGGCAGCTCAAGCCCTGGTAACTTTAACCCTCCTTTTACTTCCTCCCTTTGAAAGCTTCCTAACCTCTGCTTCTCCAGGGCTACACCTAAGCCCATGTGGCTTCTCATATTTAGTCATTTCACTTGCAAGTCTGGGGTGGGGGGGGGGGTGTGTGTGGCCCGTCCACACTTGGGGTCTGGATGCCAGACACCAAGCCTGGAGTGGGGGCTCCTCACTGGGTCCCAACTGACAGGTTGGAAGGGATAGAGAGGGGTCCCACCATTGGGACTTACAGCTGACAAGAGAGCAATGTCTCGTCCAGCACTCTGAACAAATATTGTGCACTAGTGAGCTGGCCTGGAGTGAATAACCCATTGTGAAATGAGAGGGGACCCATCCATTGATTATTTACTGAGCCAGGCGCTGTGCTAGGCTTTTGGATGGACAGGATGGGCCTGGTCACTGCTCTCCTGTAGCTTCCCTATAAGGGAGAAGACAAGCATCGAACAGATAACCACAAAATATACCTATAATTACAAATTGTGATTATGTGCTGCAAAGGAAAAGTACAGGGTGCTGCGGGAGCATTTAACAGTCGCTGAATTTAGATTCACTTCCTCTCCACACAAGTGATATTTAAGCTGAGGCCGGTGGGATGTGTAGGAGTTAGCCAACAAAGAGAGGTGGGAACATTGTTCCGGGCCATCTGTATGAAGGCCCTGAGGTGGGAAAGATCTCAGCTTTCCATGAAAAGCAAGAAAACCTAGGGTGGCCAGGCTAGAGACACCCACAGGAGTAGATGGGGCTGGCGATTTTCTAGAAAATGCTTATCTCCCCCTAGAACATTCCCAAAGAAGCAAAGGTCAGGTCCTAGATGGTTCCAAACTCAGGTACATCGGTTGCCGTCTGTGAGAAAATTCACCTACATCTGTACCAAAGGATCTGTTTGTCCAAGAACAGGGACTCCCAAACTTAAGTGAGGATCACAGATCACCCGGCGGCTTTGTTAAAACACAGATTGCTGGGTCCCACCCTCAGAGTGTCTGATCTGGTAGGTCTGGGGTGGGGCCCAGGAATATGCATTTCTAACAACTTTGCAGATGATGCTGAAGCTGCTGGTCAGGAACCACATTTGGGGAACTGCTGCCTTAGGATTTTGGAAAAGAGCCAGAAAATGAATGGAAAACCGTCCTGCTCATGTGAATTTCGCTATAGGCTGACCACAGGTTTTGCAGCCTCAAGCTGAACTTGGGTTTGTTGAAGAGTCCTAGGGATCCAGAGGCTTGGCCAGTGTTCTGGGGAAATAGTACACCCAAAGGGGGGCCCTTTGGCCTGGAGAGAAAGCTGATGGACATGGTTGCCTCTTTCTCCTCGCAGGTGTCAACAGGAGCCTACAAGCGCCAGGTGCATGAGGTACCCCTGGGGAAGCGGGTCACTGAAGCCGTGGCCATTGAGAAGATCACCTGGGCCTCCTGGACAAGGTGACTGGAGGAAAACACTTTTTTTTTGTAATGTTTATTTATTTTTGACAGAGAGCACGAGTAGGGGAGGGCAGAGAGACAGACACAGAATGCGAAGCAGGTTCCAGGCTCTGAGCTGTCAGTACAGGAGCCCGACATGGGGTTTTAAACTCACAAACTGTGAGATCATGACCTGAACCAAAGTCGGACTCTTAACTGACGGAGCCACCCAGGTCCTCCTGGAGGAAGACACTTCTTAAGGAAAAGATCACAAGGAAGTTTCTTAGGCCAGACTCAGCCTCCAAGTTTGTATGTGGCCCAGATGTAAAAAAAAAAAAAAAAAAAGCTCAGAGATAGAGCTGTCTTGTCTTTGGGGACTGGGGGCTGGGGGCAGGAGGCTTCTTGAACCTGGGCTTTTGAAATGCAAAGCCCTCCCTTTTGTGTAATCCCTTGGTCCTTCATCTGCAAACTCACCCAGCATGTTCAAAGGGAAATTACCTCCCAGCTTTTGGCTCAGCCCTGGTGCAGTGCAGTGGAGGCCTGCCGTTGCCAGGAGGGACGGGAGGGTGGGAGGGCCAGCATTGCCACTTAGCAGGATAAGGAGCAATGCGTTGCCAGTTCAAGGGAAAGGACACCACCAAGCTGTGAGCTTGAAGGTGCCCAAGCACATACACATCCAAAAGGACTAGAGGGCAGAGGGAGTGAATCAAAAATGGAGGGAACTTTTCTCTTGGGGTGCAAAGGAGGGGGGCAGAGCAGAGCAGTAAGAGCTAGGTCAATGCACAGGGGGGCAGGGGACAGAAGAGACACATGATCATAGCCAGTGATGCAAAATAGCCCTCTCTTCTCCTTATCCCTGGGAGGGGACACCTGACCACAGGAAGCCTTCTCATGCATCTCCTTCTGACACCTCTTCTTACTCAAAACAGCATTCTGGGGGATGAAGTCATTGGCATCTGGCCACGAAATGCGGACAGGGCTGATGTCAACTGCGCGTGTGTGACCCATGCTGGCCTCAACATTGTCACAGGAGATGACTTTGGGCTGGTGAAGCTCTTTGATTTTCCATGCACAGAAAAATTTGTGAGTCTTCCTCAGAGGAACTCCCTACACGGCCTCCAGGCTCTTTCCTGTAGTCTGCAGGAGGCAGTGGCCATATCTAGATGGCCATCGAGAATCTAGAGCAAGAGGAATCTTGTTCCAGTCCTGTGGAGATTTGGGGACCCCTAACTTTTGCATCTCCCTTTGGAGGGGAAGTTCTGGAAGCCGGGAGAAGGGAGGTTGGGAGGGGTACAAATTGGCCATCCCAGGCAAGAATGGGACAGGAAAACCCATCAGTGAAAGGTTGGCTAAAAGAAATGTGCAGACGAAATGGGAATCCCGAGTGGAGGATTCTGGGACGGGGAGATTTGAGTCCTGGAAGTAGTCTGTGGTTTCCAGGAGGAGCAGGGTCTCAGCGGTCTCCATTCATTTTTGCTCACAGGCCAAACATAAGCGTTACTTTGGCCACTCAGCTCACGTGACGAACATCCGTTTCTCTCATGATGACAAGTATGTGGTCAGCACTGGAGGAGACGACTGCAGGTATGAACATGACTCACCTGCTCTGGTTCCCCGGGCCTGGTTGTTACTCCCTCTTCCTGTCCCCACATTAGGTGTCCCATGGGACACAGGGAGGGGCTGACATCATAGTGACAACAAGGATTTGTCATGTATGGTCTGGTGACTCTGAACCCAGGTCTTGAAGGGCCCGTGTCCCCAGTAGAGCTGTCCTGGGATTGGTGAGAAGGGGAGGACAGGATTCCTCCTCTGAACATTGCTGGGTGGAGGGACAGATGAGTAAGGGACTCCAGGTGGCTGATTTCAGTAGGACAACCCAAGGCATCATTGCATATAATCAGGTTAAAATGGCCTTGATCCATAGGTCTTTTAACTCATAACTTCCAGCTGATCACCAGGGTTCTTAAGATGGGTGATTAGGGGGGCCTGGGTGACTCAGTCAGTTAAGCATTGGTTAGGTGTCCCAACTACTGATTCTACCTCAGGTCATGATCTCACAAGTTGTGAGATCAAGCCCCATGTTGGGCTCCATGCTGAGCATGGGCCTGCTTAAGATTCTCTCTCTCCCTCCATTCCACCCATGATGGGGAGCACTCCCAGGTGCTCTCAAAATTATTAAAAAAAAAAAAAAAAAAAGCCTCAGTCACCGTGAGAAACAATAAGGGTGTCACCCAGTTTTACATGAGATCTGGTGAGAAGTCAAGCCATTAGGCCCAGTGCTAGTAGCAGGAGATCCTCAACCAGCTATTTGGACTGGGCTGCTTTTAACCTTAACTGCTGCTGAGTGTTAAACAGGCACATGTTCCGTGAGAGGTGTGACTGGCCTTCCAGTGATTTGGAAGGACCCTTACCAGCCTGCTCCAGAGATGACATCAGCCTCTTCAGCCTTTCCAAGAAGGCCACTTTCTCTTGTCCCTCCAAGTGCATTCCTTATTTGGATTGTGGAGGAACAGGACAAAGTCATTCCTGAATCTCTCATTCTCCACCTCTAATGTAGTTGAAGGGCTTTACTGCAACATGAATATAGGTTTCTGTTCAGCCCAAGCAAAACTCTTGGGGGGGATAAAGAAGTGTAGCAATCCCGATATATATGTATTTTTAAAGTTTATTTATTTATTTAGAAAGATAGAGAGCCTGGGAGGGGCAGAGAGAGAAGATAGAATCCCAAGCGGACTCCGTCCACACTGTCAGTACAGAGCAGAGCCCGAGGTGGAGCTCAAACCCATGAGCTGGAAGATCATGACCTGAGCCAAAATCAAGAGTCTGACACTTAACTAACTGAGCTGCCCAGGTTCCCCCAGATATTTTTAGTGGTCTGAGAGAGGTTGTGGAAAAGGCACCTGTAGAGAATGTCAACCCACTTCCTATCCAAAAGCATGGTGTAGAAAATGGCCCCCAAGGACGCTGATAGCCCGTGGGAGAGCACCATCTCCAGTCCGCTGTGCCAACAGCGGCTGGCACTTAGAGCCCTTGAGATAATACTGCCAGCAGCTCCCTGTGGAGTGGAAACACCCATTGAAAGCAGCACCCGCCAGACTGTGAACAAGCCAGCAATAAGTGAATTGAGATCCGAGGTGACTTTTGATTACGATGAAAGGCTTAGAAGTAACCTTTAAAATGCAGGACCCCTAGGCCTTTGTAGTCCTGGGAGCCTATTCTGATCCCTGGCTCTATGTTGAACACTAGAAAGGGTTCTCCTACTCAAGTGGAGTTGATAAAACCTTTTCAATAGTAACGAGAGAGATAGTGTGAAGTCAAACTGCCAAAAGTCCTTACATTCAGCACATTCAGGCTGCTGAGAACCAAACAAAACAGAAAACAAGAACTTTTTAAAAAAGCAATAGATCTTTATTACTTTTTTTTAATGTTTGAGAGAGAGAGAGAGAGAGCGCGCACACGAGTGGGGAAGAGACAGAGGGAGACACAGAATCTGAAGCAGGCTCCAGGCTCTGAGGTGTCAGCACAGAGCCTGACGTGGGGCTCAAACCCACAAACCGTGAGATCATGACCTGAGCCGAAGTCAGATGCTTAACCAACTGAGCCAGCTAGGCGCCCCCCAAAAACAAGCAATAAATCTTTAATTGGTGACAAGATCCCCGATTTGCCTTTAGAAGTTGAAATGTCCAACACATATCAGCTAAGCTGGACTCGAGAGCACTTGGTAAGATTGTTTTTTGTCACTTGACAAAGTTATGATGCCCAGCCACGCAAGATGACGGTCTGATCTGCCTTTTCAGTGTGTTTGTGTGGCGATGTCTGTAAATGCCGGAACCCTCTTTATTGCTGCTGCTGCTACCACCCAGCAACTGCAGGGGCAGTGACGAGGCCCCTTGTTGCCACCAGCTGCTGGGAAAGGCCTACGCTGCGGGCCGCACAAGTTCCAAGTGCTAGTGAAGTGGGGTGACTGCTCCCAGACTCTGGAATCTCCAAAACTGTGATGCCAAGAAGGTCAGTTCTAAAATGTTAAGAGTGCTTTCCTCTGTTCCTGAGACTATACTGACCACAATGACAAAAAAATCCTAATGTAGCCCACCAACGAAATTTAAAGCCTCAGTTACCCTGACCAATATGTAGCTTTTAATTTGCATCAAAACTTTTACAAAAGATGTTTTGCTATTATGTTTCTATATACTTTAAAAATGTTCATTTTTACAAATGAGTTGAACAAGACAGCTTAATTTAGATGCGTCTAAAGCACTAGAAATATTGATAGCCTCAGTTCTCCACATTTAGCTTTCAAAACCAAATGAGCCATGTACAAACAAGTTGAGAAACTTAATTTTTTAACGTTTCATTTGCAGAGTTTTATATCCATTAAGTGCCTTTGAAAGTTTCCAGTTGTGTGGGCTGCTGTCTCCCCTCCCACAAATTATCTCCTTTCTACATATGGTGCTAAAACTTCAAAACTGAGGAGGGCTACAGGACCCTTAACAGATTCCTGGTCTGTCACCCATGTCATGTGTTTATGTCGAGGCTTCCTAAATGACATCAGTTCCCTGCTTGAGAAGTAGTGGCAGGTGAGCAGCAAAGAAACTTAAATTCAGGAGGGAGGGGGTAAAAATGGGTTTTCACTGTTTAGTGCCAAACCTACAAAATCCAAAATAGAAGTAAAATTAACCTCTACTACAAAATAGTAGGAAAAAAAAAAAAAAAAAAAAAAAAAAAAAAAAAAAAAAAAAGCTCAAGTGGGTCTAGGATTAACGAACTCTTAATCCTAATAAATGCGGGGACCCAAGGCTGCACTGGGTCTACCACCCAGTGGGGCTGACTTGACACCACGGATTTGTTCAGGTGAACTGATCTAGGTCAAGTCCAGATAAAAAGAAAAAAATCTCAGCAGAACAGATTCCTAAGCCCAAGCAATATTTGAAAGATTATTCAACAAAAACAGGCTAGCTTGGCGTTCGTCAGCGCTGGCTAGATGACACAATGTGACCTGGACAGTATTAACCAGACGACATCCCTGACCTGCCTCACTCCTACTTCACACTTGGCTCACCACTGACTCCAGGAGGGGCTGACAGCACACACCGCTAGGAAGGCTGGTGAGGGCCTGGGGACTCTGAGCACACGTGCACCCATCAGTCCTTCCCATCAGTGAACCAAAATTCTGGGTCTTGAGTTTCTGGCTATTTGCAGTTGTCAGTTTAGCGACAGTGAAATGAAGCATTTTCAATTAAACAGATTATTAACATTTACCCCAGAAGTGCTTCAGCATTCTAAATGGATTAGATCACCAATGAAGCTATTTTTATATGCCAAGTTATGAATGCCTTACATTAATCCCCTGATAGGCTGTCGGGTCCCCAGTTAAGAGTCCCTGTGCAGTCCTGATTCTGTTTTCTGTAACCATGTAACTGGCGATGCTGAGTGATGACCATGTCTGCCTATACTGTACCACCGACCTTTCATAATAATCAGATCTTGTATTGAAATAACCACGTGGAAATAAATTGATCAATGAGGATATGTACAACTATATTTAAAGAGCAATAGTGTCTGTGTCAAGAAAACTTCTTAAATCTTATTTGTAAACATTTATATGGTATGATTTTATGTATGTTTATCCTGCACTGTGTTCTATATGTTAAAATATTGGTGCATGAATTTATTTTCAATTAGCAAAGTATAAAAAATACATAATTTGAAAACATTTTGTATGTGTCAAATAAATTTGATTATGTAAACACAGCTGCACTACGCACTGGAAAGCTTTCTAAGAGTACAAGCCACGGCTCACTAGTTGAAGCAAAGTCTACTGTGTGTATACTTTTAATCTGGTGCAGTTTCATGGAGCCAAAATACCAAACATATTTTGTCTATAAGCTTTATTGATACTTTGCTTTTACAGTTCACAATGCATTCCACAGATTCAGTACAGCTTAAACCACAAATGTATAAATCTTCATTTTATAATTTTTTGCATAACAAGGTTTGATATTTGCAAACAACGTTTTTGGAAGCATTAGATTCAGTCCATAGATTCAGAGTCTGTGACAAAATGAACTACAGTAAGTCTGTGCAATGAAGTTTATGCTGAGGAGTTCTATGTGCATGGCATCGTTTCATGTTGAAAACAGATGGTAGTGCTCCTAGAAATAGATTTTCTTTTTCTAGCTTATGTGCTTTGGAACTACACACGTATAACCAATGACTCTCTGAAACATCAAGCACTGTGGGGTAGCCGGAAGGTAAAGGTCTAAGCTTTGTGAAACACTATATATAGATATATATATAATCTATATTTACTTATATTGGCAATTAATATAACAGTAAGATTCACAATACACCTAGAACATACCAGAAAGGCAAGCTTTTTCACTCTTGCTTTAGTGGTATGATCTCGTCTAAACATTGCATTTCAGAAAATCTGCATCAATCTACACAGACCATACACAGTGCACAAACTGTGAAAAGGATTATTTTTTTCAGCTTCACTTTCTCTGCAATTCCCAAAAAACAGCAAGACTACCTGCAACAAAGTGTAATATACAGCTTTCTCAGATCTTTTTCTATTCACCAGTGCCTCGTATCGGAAAAACAAGTATGATTACGGTTTAAATCCATACATAGCAGCTTACAATACTTAAGATGATGAACACATGGCAGTCAAGACAGGTAATTTTCCTCAGACACCGCATTGCTAAAAATAAAGATCTGTGAAACTGCAATGTCAAGGTTTCCTTCTTCCCTGACCCTCCCCCATGTAATCAAACGAATATCCCCTTTTAAAGATAAACTATTGTTAATGATTTCTGGCTTTTTCATTCAGCTTTGCGCTTCAATCCAGGGATTTTCGCTTGGATTCTACAAATGGAAAGGTTGAGACAAAAGGTCAATATAAATATTTTTAAATTTTATGTATTTTAAAACGCTATCCTTCAAGAACTACTTGTATATTGCTCAGCTTGTACAAGAAATAAATCTTAAGGCTGTCAAACTACAAGCTGTAATTATGCCACTTTGCCTGATGAATTAGATTTAAACAAAGCCTTAAATACAACAAAAAGCAAACAGAAATCAACGATTCCAAATGTAGAGAAAAATCGTGTGGCAATACTGTCACACTTTTTAAGTGTGATTAAGATTTGCTACCCATTATGTCTAGAAGATGAAAATACAAAGTCCAGTACACCTTGTCCTTAGTAAAAAAGAAAACAAAAGTTGCAGATTTTAAGTACTTACTTAGCCATAGCATCTTTAACATTCTTGTTTGCAAGTCCTAGATAATGATCTATCTGCGCCTGAAAGAGAGGTATAAAGGAGTTACTAGAAAACTAACGTTGGTAGAGTCTTATTAACCGTTACTCTGTTCCGGCAAATTAAGGGCTTAATAAAGGCTTAAGAAACCACATTCTTCATATTTATAAGGCTATGGAAACTGGCAATAATACATCTGTTTGAAGTAATAAAGTGAGACTTGTATCCTGAAATCTATACTTAAGAAATTACCTGATGCCGTTCATAAATAACAGGAACGCTGAAGAGTGAAATCAGAGCTGAAAAAGGAAATACACAGCCTTTAAAATCGACTAGGAGGGTTTAGGGAACAAACACGGAAAATGGTACACTCTTAAGATAGCTAGGCAGTGTTCCTAACGAATGAATAAATACACAAGGATCTCCTGGAGGCACCTGCTGGTGGGGAACCACTGCAGAGCAGTGAGTGAATTAACCAAGGGATGCTGCAGGAACCACTCCTAGCTTAAAATCACGTCACACAGACCTTATAAAATACAGGCATCCCAGGTTAGTGTGATTTATGCCTGCACCATCAGATGAGGCCAGCCCCCATCTGGTTTATCACTATTAACTGGAGCATTCTTCAGGAACTAAAGTAGCAATTCAATACACAGTATCAGTATCAGCAATTTAGCTGAAGAGATCACAACCTCAAATATACGTCCTGTCTTCCCCACAACATAAGAATTCTCTCCACTACAATGTCTCTTGGGGTGCCAGGATGGCTCAGTCTGTTGAGTGTCTGACTTTGGCTCAGGTCATGATCTCATAGCTTGTTTAGTTTGAGCCCCTCATTAAGAAACCTGCTTCAGATTCTGTCTTCCTTTCTCTGCTCCTCCCCACTCTCTCTCTCTCTCTCTCTCCCCAAAATAAACAAACATTACAAAAAAATCCTTTAAAATGTTTTTAAGCTCCTACACACAATCATCTTTTATTGTACAGTTTTTCATTCAAATAGTTTTATAGACTTACCCAAAATCAGTAGTGTCAGACCATTGAACAAGGCACCAACATAGGTAAATACCCACATCAACACTGCAAACTGTAAGAAAATAACATTAGCCTATTAAAACCACACTTCACATGAAGTTGAAGCTTTCAAATAAAAGCATCCCATCTAATGGCCAACCTACTAGAGGCCTAATCGTTGGAGATTTGGTACATATGGAGATTTCATCTTGAAGTCACCAGTCTCAATTCAAAATTTCAGAATCCTAATTAAAATAGATTTGATTCATTGTCTGGACTACACTACCAAGTAGTTGATTCAATTTTCTCTGAGATCAGAAAACATGCCAAAGGTATACCTTCCTCCTTCAACTTTAATACAGCATTTAGCTTTTACATGGGAAGACTGAAAAGGGATGAGAATTTGCTATTAAACCTGATTTTAAAGCACTAAAAAGTACTTCAGATCCACATGAGCTGAATAATTCAGACATTAAAATCTCAGACATCTGAATAAGTAACAGTGAGGCAGGAGTACTTATGATCAGTGAGAATGGGTTTCAGGTACCAAA